CTGGTCCTTTCCTAGTGTAATCAGAAAGATTGTAGTCATGAGCCTGTATTAGGAGAAAGGGAGAGAGAAAAGGTGGGCTTATATTAAATTAATATGATGAGCTGTAAAAGGCTCAAGTCAACAACTTCTGACATTGCCAGTCCTGCGGATACCCACATCTATTATTGACTACTGGACTATATTGGATTACTTTGCTGGATTCATGCAAGTACAATATTTGAATGGCAATGGAATACATCTCTGACAGAAAAGGGGGATATAAATGATGGATCATTTTGTAGTGAAAAAAATATATGTATCTGTATATACAAAATAGTTAGTACACAATGCTGTATGTGGTTAGATTTCTAGATTTCTGTGTGAAAATATATAATAGCTTATTCCTATTTTTAAAAATATTTTTTCTTTTTTAAATTTTTCTTTTTTTCTTCATATTCTCTAGGGATTCAAATTTGAATGTATTAATACTTGATGGAAAATACCTGTGCCATGTCTAAGATGTTTGATACTCAGACAGATAGTGAGGTTAAGCTCAACTGCCTATGTTGTAGGGTAATAATATTAAATTTCTCTTCTTGATGGTTAACAATCTAAGTTTGCAGAGCAAAAATTAGAGAAAAAGAAGGGCTGCAAGGACAGCCAACATTTTGGCTCTAGCCTTTCAAGGTTAGTGAGGATGCAGGACATAGGAGAACCTGTGCTGTAACATCCTGCAACTCAGTTGTGTCCCAAATTTACTGATCAAGGAGATTATGAGACCACAGAGGAAAGTGATCGATGATGTAGAGTGTGCCTAAGGAGAGTCACCTACAGAGCAAACATTCTCTCAGGCTTTCACAGAGAGCACATTGGCCAAGCATTGGCTGTGACTCATCCACCTGGCTGACACTGACAAAGGATCTACAAACTGTGATACAAGGATTCAGGGTAAATCCTGAGGGGATTTCACTGACCTTGTCAGATACAAAAGTTACATTTCTTGTTATATAGGTCTTGCTTTATCTTGCAGAAAAGTATAAAAGTGAGATATAAAATGTAAAGCCATATGAATATGCTGAGTTGCAAAAGGCTCAAGTGAACAACTTCTGACATTGCCAGTCCTATGGAAAACCCACTACTGTTATGGACTACTGGACTATATTGGAATATTTTGTTGAATTCATGCACCTACAGTATTAAATGGCAATGGAATACCCATCTCTGACAAAACTAAACAAAAAAGGTGATACAAATAAAGGATCATTTTGTATCTGTATGTACAAAATAGGATAAATATACAACTTCTTTCACTTAATTCAATGAGAAGAAAGATTTGTACTAATAGTGTTTGGACAGGATTTTGTACTATGAATAACAACTACAAAGACAACAATATGCAATGTATTAATTATTGAAACTGTCCTACTAATCGGTTTTGAAACTGTCTCATTGCTGTTTGTTTCTCAATAAAATGAATTAAAAAATGAAAAACAAAATAGCATATATATATACAGCTACTCTCCCTTAGTTCAATGAGAGGAAAGTTTTTAACTAATAGTGTTTAGACAAGATATCATGTCTGCATGTTGTACTATGAATAACTACTACGAACACAACAATATGCAATGTATTAATTATTGTAACTGTCCTACTAATCTGTTTTGAAACTGTCTCATTGCTATTTCTTTCTCAAATAAAGGTAATTTTTTTAAAAAAGAAGAAAAAAAGTGGGCTTGAGGCTCCCTCCCATTACGAAAGAGAGTAAGAATCTGTAATAGTGAAACAAAAGAAAGGAGAACAGAACCAAACAAAAACTAAAGCTGCTTAGGGCTGGCCAGACAGCTCAATAGAATAATCGCCTGCCTGGCAAGCACAATGTCCTGAGTTCAATCCCTGGTACTGCAAAAAAAGAAAAGAGAAAAACCTACTACCAACCTGTGGAGATAGCTCAGCTGTTTAAGCAACTGCCTGGCAAGCACAACTTGCAGAGTTCGATCCCCAGTACTACAAAAAAAGAAAGAAAGAAAGAAAGAAAGAAATCTTAAAAACTCAAGCTGCTTCTCTTACTCTGTGTGCACAATTCAGGTTATATGCATGCATATGACCAAAAACGCTGTAATTATACACCTGCATAATACATGGATTTGCATAGGTATATCCTCTCACTAAGTAAGGTTTGCTTCTTGAAGAACTGCTGTCCCTTAGGGTGCCCTTCTGTGCGCCCTCATGTCAGGACTTAATCTGACCTGCAAGTATTCAAATGGGTGTAGGAAGGATGTTATGGTTTGTGTCCAGTTGTTCCCCTAAAGCCACGTGCAGTCATGGGACAGGGACTTTTAGAGTTTGAGATTAACTCATGATCCACTGGAATTATGAGTCTTAGTATTGCTGGGATTATGGGTGTAAGTACTTTGCTCAGCCTGGGGTGGTTATCCTGAATGCAACATAAAAGAGACAGAGAGACAGACTTCCTCTCTGTTGCTATTGTTGCTGCTACTCCTCCCATTTGCTCTCTGCTCTTTGCCATGTGCCACTCTGACTTGGAGCCAGCTGAGTATGGACTGAAAACTCCATTAACTGTGAGCTAAATGAACCTTTCCTTCCTTTATTTTGGATATCTGATAATTGTCCCAGCAATGAGAAAAGAGTAACTGAGACAAAGATGCAAGGTTGAAATGAGGTACTTTGGTGGGAAATTGCTTGAAACCCAACCTAAGAACCTGGCCAAACATGACTACTGATGATTCCTTCATTGTTTTACTGGCCACCTCTCTTTGCTTTGCCCTTTGGCACTGGGCATAGAAGCCAGCAGCTCATACCCACAGGGTGTCCTCTACCACTGAGTTGAAGGCCCAATCCCAAGCTCATAAGCTTTAAGAATGGAGGGCAAACTCCCGTGAAATCCACTTAAGAGCAAGGAATGGACATCTGGTCAAACTGAGCATGATGGGGAAAGGCAGCTCCATAGGTTATTTGCCTCCCCTTGCTGTTCCTGCAAGTCTTGCTGAGGTGATGGAGACGGTGGAGCTCACAATGGACATTTCTCTGCATAGAGCTCAATCTCCATGGTGCACAGTTCCCCAAATTTTCAGAATCTTATTGTAGTAGAGTGTTTGATGATAGGCCCTAGAACCTAGATCATGGGAAAAAACAATCCAAAAGAATGGCATAGAACTCAGTTTGGTTCATCTCAGACACTTGAAAGGGTAAAGAAATACTGTAAACAGCTGAAGAAACATTCATCTCCAAAATCTGGAGTCTTTTTGAGCACATTTTTTTATCATGGTGAGATGCGGGTTTCCTTTTCTGTGGTACTACTTCCTGGAGGTGAGTTCTGTAGGACATTTGGTGGGGAGGACCTTCTTTCAAGGGAGATTTGTACTTACTGTAATTTCCAGGACGTCTGAGTTCTTCAGGCTATGCTGGGCAATTTGGGGTTAGGTGATGGGCTCAGATGTTCCCTACCTAAGACAAAAGGGTGCGGGTAGTTCCCCAATGAATCCCAGGACTTGGGAGAGAAATCAGTATGAGCTCATCATTAATGTTGCTGCAGAGTATATACCAAAGAGCTTTGGAGAAATTGAGCTGAAAATCTGTGTCTGGTGTTCAGGACAGCAGCCTCACAGAGCAGGACAATGAAGTGCTGGCATCCTAGTGCCCCAGTCCAGGCTCCATGCAGGAAGATGATTGAGGAGGTGGGGAGCATGTTCTCAGGCTATCTGACAGTGCACAGGAACAGAGGATCCAAGGTGTGCAGGTGCCTGCTCACCTCCCTGGCTGTGGGCCTCTCTCACTGGTCTCCTGAGGAAAAAGGCCACAACAAACTAACAGAGGAAAGAAAGTTTTCAGCACATCCCACATCTCAGCTTGAAGTTTCTACTAAACTGCCCCTTGGTGTCCCCTCTCCTGTGCAAGGTAATAGCACTGATGGGAAAGAGGCTTGGGAGAGAGACCTGATGTCATCCCACCAGGACAGTGGGCTGTGCACCCCGGTGCTGTGGTGCCGATGTCAGCGGTGGACACTTTGCAGCCTCTCCACACCAGCTCTGCTGCTCTGGGCTTCTTGGTCTTCATTTTCCTGGTGGTAGTTGAGAAAGACTCTCCCTATGCAGGTCAGGCTGTCCTTGAACTCATGTCAGCCAGGCTGGCTAGGACCTCACAACAGTTCTTCCAACTTAGCATCCTGACTCTTGCGATTACAGGTATGCACCACCATACCTCCCGTAATCTGGGCTTCTTCATGTGCTGTATTTTACTTGGGAAGCAGGTATTGAGGAGATAGAATAGAACACCTGTTATGGCATTTTGGTTTATATTGTAACTTCCCAACAGTTTACGTCATTGTAGTCTTCCAAATCTAGGAGACTGTGTTTGTTTACAGAGGACAGTGACATCACATGGTTCCTGGTCTGCTGCAGTGCTATGGGTAGCAGATTTAGACAATCAGTCCTGTGACCCCTCCAACTGCTGTTGTCCTCTCCTTCTGTGTCTTGGGCACCAGGGCTAGGCTGTGCATGTCTAGGTGGATCAGAAGGGACGTGTGTGCCCTGCAGGCAGGCTGGGGTGCCATCAACAGTCAGGATGCTGTACTGCTTCATTGACTTAGAAGCCATGGAACTAACATCAGGCACGGGAGCAATTTCTCCCCTAGGCCTGCAGCCAGTAACAGGAAGAAAATGTTAAAGAACACTGAGTTTGGGAGGATAGACAGAAACTTCTGGGCCTGTGCGTTAGCAGGGAACCGAACTGCTGCCCACTAAGGGTTTGAAAGAGAAATGTCAGTTTCTTTCCTAGAACTAGTTTCACTTTCTGTTACAAAGGAAGGAAATCCTTAACCTTGGCAATCAGGACTGTGTTCCTGCATGGATATCCACCCCAGCCCTTGAAGGTATTTGAGCCTGAAGCAAAAGCTCCCCTCTCAATATCTATAAGTCAGATATGTAGGAACACACATGGTATGTTATTCTTTTATGATAACAGTTCTGTTCCCTAACCCGATCTACTTTCCCCTCTGACCTCAGGGTTGGTTTAACAATCGGAGAGCCAAGTACAGGAAATATCATACGTAAGCAGTGCTCCAGAACGCAGCACCTGATTCCCTGGATGTCGTTTGCATGGATGAGTAGGCAGAGCCATTCTAGGATGCTGTCCGTCTTGTGTAAAAGGATCATGCTTGGAGTTTTATGTTGCTGTTAATCCCACGGCCAAGCATATTTCACCCCTGTTTGGTTACCTACATAGCACTTAGATTTGCAATAAGCTAGTCATTTCTGAACTGAATTGTCTTCCCATTATTTGCGGGGTTAGCTTCAGTTGGATGAAATGTCATTCCAGGTGAAGGATAATGAGGTCTCCGTTGAGAAGGGACTGCATTACATCACCATCACGAGGCCTTGCACATCTGTCTTCTAAGGTCATGGGGAGTTTTTAATGCCCCCTCCTTAGTATTAATGTCAATTTTCAGTTCTGTGTCCTTAAGGGTCAACTGTGGATCACTTACCTCCACAGGCCTAAGGGGAAGTGAGCGAAGGGCCACTGCTAAGGTTCAGGGGTGACTATAAGTACCCTCAGGGGGTGGATGTGATATAGGGCAAATGCAACTGTCACAGTGGGAACCTGTTCCCAGGGCACAGAGCTGTGTCCCATGGAGTGCATTCTGAGCTCTCCTGATGTCCCGTGATGTTTTCCTCTTGCCTCTGTCATTCATGGTTGTCAAAGGTCAGCAGAGTGTGTGCTCTATGGGCCATTTTCTATTTGCTCTCAAAGGGATGTTAGTCCTAAGTCTATCAGTGGCTTTCAGTTCTGAAGTTACGATGTTGAATATCTTGCTCAATGAGCTATTCTTCCAGTGAGCTATGCCCTTAGACACCAGGCAAAACACAGGACTTGTGGAGTGGGTGCCTTCCCTGAGGCTATTAGATCCCTTCCCAGGCAGGAAAGTTCTCTGCACCTGTGGCATAAGCATTGCCAAGAAATGGGGAAGATGCTGCTCTCCTTCTCAATGCCCCTGGCCCTGGAATTCACCTGCTGGGTTTGTACTTTAATTTGTAGTACTGTGCGTATGTTACTCTTAAGAAAGTTAAGTGATCCTGTTGGAGATTCCTCGGAGCATTTCTTGCTTGTGAGTATTGTCATGTGCTTACTATGCACAACTCCCCATTTAGAAACCAATTCTTGGAGAGACCTCATCACAGGAATGGGACTCAGGCCTTTGAAGAGGGTCCGCCTTTGTGTCTGAGTACCCGTTACCCCACTGCTCAGCTGGGGAGTGCAGGATTCCTTGCCCAGCTTCTGAGTGTCCCATGAGCAGCCCTGCACTAGTCTGCCCTGCTGGAACTCCTCCTCCATTAAGGTAATGCACTTCTTAAGAGATTTTGTGGAAGATCTCACCCGGGACCTCATTTCTTCTAGGCAAGCGCTGTGCCACTGAACTACACCCACAGCCCTAGCCTGCCAGTATGAAAGGTAATTTTATTTATAAAAATTTCTTACTTTTCATGGAGTTCTATGCCCAGGGTCAAAATAGTGTGAGTGCACAGCCTTTGGAGTCAGCTGCCGTTAACATGACCTCCTTCCTCCTCCTCCTCCTCCTCCTCCTCCTCCTCAGAATAATGCCTGAAGGTCCTGTTAACTTTAGCCTTCCTTCGAGATTCTTTTGTGCTCCTTCCTTGACCCCCAGTACAGCAGAGGTTCCCCAAGAAAGTGAAGCTTTCCTTCAGCTAGGGTCTTTGTCTCAGCAGGCTCAAGCTCACCTTCCTTTGCAGAACTCACAGATCATTCCTATCTGGCCAGTGAGGACAGTGTTCATGCATCTTGAAGGAAAACTTCAGCAATGCCTAGGGGTGGTCTTTCTCATTTCATGCTGCTATTCTGAGCAGACAACTTGATTCTTTTTATATATTTTTATACTTTTTAATTATATACATATACATATTCATTTATTTGGTACAAGGTCTCTGTTCAGGTCAGACTCATAGTGATACTCCTGTCTGAGCTTCCCCAGTGCAGGATTACAGGTGAGCACCATCATGCTCAGTTTCAATGGCAGGCACCACAGTCCCAGAGTTCTGGGGACAACACGGTATGCAGTGCCAGGGATCTAATTCGGGTCCTTGTGCTTGCCAGGTAGGTACTGAGACCACAGAGCTATCTTCCCAACCTCTCCTTTTTTTTCAAAAATATTTTTAAAATTTTTTGAAGAGACTATATAATAGTATTAAAAGAGAAAATTTACAAATGGCACAGAATTTTACTACACAAAGTAATTTGAATTTCTCTGCAGTGGTTGTGTTGCATAGTGTTGTCTTCTAATTACTTGTTCATATTTCCAGATATATGCATGCAAAATTGGAAGAAGGAACAAAAAGAAAAAAACTTGGAAGGAAGTAAAAAGAGAGAAAATGGAAAAACTTAAATAGAAAAACAAAAGAAATTAAGGACTCAGTGCTCCTTTCCACAGACCAGCAGCTATCCAGAGTGCAATTGCTCAAACCATCCTGCTTACATACGTAGATACATCTCTTTCACCCACTCCTTCTCTTGTCCATCTCTTCAACCCAGAAATTCCTTCTTTTACAACAGGTTCATTCCCTTTTGTAATATCTGCTGTACCCTTCACATTTTATTTTCTCTTTCAGGTTCTCACACTGAAGACACCATCTGATGTTTGCACAGATGGGTTTGATTTATTTCCCTTAAGAATATCATCCCTAGTTGCATCCATTTACCCATAAAACTCTCAAATGTATCCTTTTGATTGCTGAATAATACTCCATTGTGTGAAAGTATCACATCTTAATCCATTCCTCAGTTGAGAGGCACTTGGTTGCTTCCAGGATTTAGCTATGACAAATTGTGCTGCTATCAACATGGGTGCATATATATGGTTGTTGTATGATGTTTTCAATTCTACCAAGAAATTCCCCTGCAGGAATAGCTGGGTTGAGTGGGACCTCCAATCCTAGCTTGTTAAGGAATCTCCACAGTGATTTCATAGTGGTTCTACCAGCCTGCTGTCCCACCAACAATGTTGAAGGGATCCTTTTCCCCACAGCCTCCCCAGCATTTCTTATTGGTTGACTGCTTGATGATAGCCATTCCTTCTGGGGTGAGAAGGAATCTCAGGGCTGTTTTAATTTGCATTGCTCAAATGGCCAATGATGTTGAACATTGTTTCATATATTTACTTGCTATTTGTGTTTCTTCACCTGAGAAGTGTCTATTCATGTCAGATGCTCATTTTTGGATTGGGTCTTTGAATTTTTTGGGTCTGATTTTATAATTTGATTATATGTTCTTGATAGAAGGTGATTACAAGAGGAACTGCATGTTTCTTATGGGTTATCAGGAAAACACACATGCCATGTTCAAAGACTACCACCAGCACCTCGACTAGACCAATATGGATTGCTTAAAGCCAACTGAAGGTATATGGAGAAATCCTAGCCAGCTCTGTATATATCAATAGGAGAAAATAGGGTCAGGCTCATTTAAAATGAAGATAATCACTCTTCTTTCGAGGAGAGCTGCTCAGGTGGTCCTGCATATTAATTCTAAAAAGGAGAACTCAGGTCTGGCCCCTCTGAGAAGCCATATGATGCTATTGTTCTGTTCCCTGGGAGCTCCCTGAGTTTCTTGAGTTGAAGTTAAGGGAAGCCTGGAAGCCCAGCAGGTGCAGGCACCAAGTGGAGCTGAGCGTGCACAGGCTGGGGTCTAGAGAAGCCCAGAACAGATCAAGCAAAGAATCATTTGCATGGAACTCATCCATTCCACGCAGGAATGAAGTCATTGGGGGTGTTGAGGACTACTGGGACATCCACATTCCAAGCACTCCCCTCTGCCACACCAGGTTGTGCTCTTGCCCTGGAAGGTGCACGGCTGGTACCAAGAGAACTGAGAAAGAGACCTGGGTGGTGGAAATGGGGCCTGGAGAAGTAGAGTTCAAGGAGACTCTTGGAGGCAGTGCCCATTTGCAGAGGAAGTAGTTTTCGGTGATAGTCACAACATCTCATAAGGCTAAATGTCCTCCATCATTAAATTCCTTTCAAAGTATTTACAGTCTCAAAACCTGAACTACATACTTTACAAATAATTTTCTTCCATAGTATTTCTTCATGGATCCAGACTTGTGATCAGTACTTTTGTGGGGAGGAAGGATAAATCAGTGCAGCCCAGGGGCTGTTTGGAGCGATGAACCTGCTCTCAGGGTGATGGAGTGATGGATGCCTATCACTGTGCAAGGGGTGCTTGTGCTGGGAGTGCACCTAGCACCAGGCTTACTGAGATATCTTCAACAGTAAGGAACTGAAGTGACCTTTGTAGGAAGGAAGTTGATGGAATTAGTCCTCATGATATTTGCAAATTTTCAGACTTTTCGGTCACACTGAATTTCACATTGCCAAATGGGTACCTGTACTCCATTGACCACAGTGGGAGAACCTGAGTCTGTGAATCCGTAAAAATGTGCCAGGCCAGTGCAGGACTGTTATTGTGACAAAAGGAGGCAGAGGAGGAAATACCACGAGAGCTGAGATCCAGCCCTAGCCCAGGCCCGGTGTGTATAGGAGAGCTTCCTGCTACCCTGTGCCCACAGGACCTGTCCGGTCCAAACCCAGGCACACAGCATGAATGACACCATCTTCTGAACCCTTGGGATTTCCGCAGCACTACGCAGTCCCCGCCATGCCCACCTAGTGAGTGAGAACTTCTGTTGCATTACTGGGACCCCCAGATAAAGCTCTAGCTCAGGCCCGGTGAGGGGGTGGAAGAGTTTCCCTTCTCCCCTACACCCCTTATTCAATTCAGACTCAGCTCAGGCCTGGCATACACGTCTGGGTTGAAACCCTGCAGCAGCAATCCCTGCAGAGAGAGTAGGGGACAGAACCACCCAGCTAGTCCAGGAGCATCTTGTCAGAGGGGCACAACAGGATCACTCCCAAGGACTGCAGCAGTAAGGAGCTGAGCACAGCAGCCAGACCCAAGCCAGGTGGAACTGGATAAATTCAAACTTTGTAGATCTGCCCCTGAATTTCAGTAGGTGCTAAGGTTATAATTGCACCAAAGCTCTACAA